GATAAATATTTTTTTTATACAATTTTCCAATTTTATAATATTTTCTTTTGAAAAGAGGGAATCTTTATATTTATAATCACCTTGCATTAACAAATTTGAAAATGGCGCCAAAAATAGGATTAACAGTATACTGGACTGCGTTCCGTTTTAAAAAGTCACCAATATAACTAGCTATAAAGGAACGGGCTTCCAGTATACTAAATTGACGTCATACCCTTAACTTTTTGGATTTGAGGTCTAAACCATGGACTTGGTACTATATAACAGGACTCTCAGCTAAAATCTAATCGAACTGGATATCAACTACAGAGGCTATTTGTCCCTTTCTAAAAGGACGACAAAAACATGAGACTTTTCATATGGTTCAGTTTTTTAACTACTGCGGCTATTATCGTACACAATAATCTTGTTAAACTTTTTGTTGCAATAAATATATTTCTGTTTTTATTATTAATTTTAAATACTTATAGGCTTTTCGCGCATTTAGATATCGATGAGTGATATCGCACAAATCGCGAACCCTAATAATATCTATGGAAAATCGCATGTGTTCGCAAAGGCAGTGTTTATGCGATCGCACAATCTGTCAATATCCTCGACATCGATGTATGTATGTACTCATGGTCTGCGATATCGATTCAATTGATTAACCAGCTCGATCTACTTTCGAAATCGAGGATCGATATCAGTTGCGCAATCTCATATGCACTCTCATAATATCAAATCATAAAAATATATTGAATTTGACAAAAAAATATGGCAATATTCCTTCTATATTCTATATATATAAACAAGTAAATAGGTCGATCGCGTAGTGGTTAGTGTGTTGGTTTGCGATTACGGAGGTTAAGCGACGATCACAAAGGCCGGTAATGATGGGTGGTCAATATTTTTTCGTAACGATTTCAGACCTACACGTTGTCCCAGTACGCATTACTGGATGGATTAATTTCTTCTATTAACGATATCGAAGCTTTAGCGCCACCTATCCGCTTTAGGACCTACATTCGGCTCTAGAGATGAATGCGGGATGGTTATCGAGTTCGTTCTGCGAATTGGATAGGTGACCAAATTTTTTTACTTGTTACTAAGCAACATATAAAATAATTATTATATTTTGATTAATTTTGCATTCACAATGCCATACCGAAAATTATTCTTAATGCAAAATGCCAAGAGAAGAAAAGAGCAGAAATTTCGCCACAACCCGCTCCTTCTCGCAAGGGCTATCTTGCGCCACCACTCTCAACCAATTACAAAAAAAATTGATCACCCATCCAATTTTTGGTCTTTGCGAACATCACTTAATCTTTGCAAGCACAAATAAAACTCGCTAACCACTCGTACACATTCGCGCGTAACCGAAAACACACAAATTTTACATCATAAATAAAAAATATTGAATTTAGAAAAAGTTATTTTATTTTATGTATATCCAATTAGTCGATCAAATTGCATCGTGCTTCATTGGTATTATATATGTAATTTAAATCGACGATCAATTCGGTTTCGAGTCATGAGTAAAGAGTCTTAGGACGAGGTCTCATACCTTAAAAATAATAAAAAAAATCACAAGAAGGCCTAGAGCGATGTCATAGCGTAATAAAATGTTGCTTACATGTTTTAGTAAATTCTTAGTTTGTGTGGAATAATTTAATATGGTTTAAATAAATGATCATTCATATATGATATTATATTAATTTCGTTGTATAACAAGTCAATGCAGTACAAATATTCTAATTAATAATTCTTTTGAAATTCAATATTAAATTAATAATCAATATACATTTCTAAAAATTGTTTTTTGAAGTTTGTAAGTCAAATTTTACCGTCCAAATTTAGTAACGAATTAAATTTAATTTCATGGACAAACATAAACGCAACACTTTTCACAATAATGACTGATGAAATATATAAGGTACTACTGAATTAAAAATACTAAATAATATGCTTTTATTATACCTATCTAATATGTCACCGCAATAACATTTAAATAGAACACAAGTAGATAACAAGTAATTAAATAGCCTTGATAATAATTAATACTTTACACTATTTATAATAATTTGATATTAACAAAATAAATGACTAAGATTATTTTAGATTAAATTTTTAATCAACAATATTTTTTTATAATGGGAAAATGAAAGAATGAGATAAACGGCCTCCGTTTTGATTATTCCTCTCGGTTCGGATTAACTTCTGTAGAAGAAACAACGAAAAGCTCAATTGAATTAATAGTGTTAAAGTTCATTTTCGTAATGACAATTTTCCAGTCTTCTGATATACTACTCCATCCATGGCTTAAATATATTTAAATGAAGTTGCCAAAGAGTTGACAATCTTTTTTATATAAATGTGTTTTGTGCATAAAAGCATAGATAGAAGCATAGTCTGCGCAGAAAAGAAATAAATAACAGAGCTTGTGAAAAAATTTGTGAGAGTTTTTCTAAAGCTTTAACTAAAAGTTGATTTGCCATGATATTTCAGTATTCTTGTTGTAGCCTTATAATATATAGGAGCTACCATCATAAATTACATAGATTTCATAAACAGTAAATCATGTGCTTGGATCCAATAATATTAATATGTCTAGATACGCAATACATACCAAAACTGTAAAGCTACTAAAACTAAGACTTTTGTTTAAGTTTTTCTTTTGAATTCCCGCCAAGAAAGTACAAAAAATATTAAGTTTCACACTAAAATCATTAACATTTTTATCAGTAAAATAATGGTTATAATTTACCTAAATATCTTCCTTTAATTAATTATATGACTCAGCTTTAGTATCAGCGACTACGAAAATTTTGTTGATATCTTTTTCATTCACACAGAGAGATGTGATTTTTTTTAAGTATTGACACTTTGACATTGACAAGTGCGGAGTTCGTTAGTTTTATTGTTTTTATTCAAAATTGGTTGAATGAATGTATTTAAATCGTGTAATGGTCTCCTACGTGAAGTTGGCGGTATTGATTGGAAAATAATGAGGAAGTATTTAAAAAAAATAAAGAAACTACAAAAAATTATGTTACTAGATGGCAGCACAAATTGTTGGATCTAAACGTCAATTCATGACGTTAAACCAAAGAGAATAGATTTGTTAGTGTTGTTATGGATCTGATAACTTGGATTAATATCGAGTTGAAATTTAACTAGTTCGAGTTATGCAATCACAACTCGATTAATACAAAGTAATCTTTGAATAAATTTATTTTTTATTTGTATAGAGGAAAATGGAAACTAACATAATGGAAGTGAGCACAGAGGTTTTTTAAATTTATGGAAATCAATTGAATGCTGTGATATAATTAAAAGTGGCATCTAACTACGGTATACAATAATATTACGTTTTATAAATAAAATAGGTACTTATGTCATAGTAGGTCTAGGAATTTTCATTTTAATATTTAACAAAAGTTCTGAAAAAATAACATCTAGGTAAGTTAGTTTTATTGCTATTAGTTGTTTGTTGAACTTACAACAACAAAACTACATCAATTCTCAATATTTTTTTCATATTATGTATGGTGAATAAATGAATAGGGTTTATTAATCAGCAACAAAAGTCATAAAAACAATAATTTTTAAGAAAAATCCGTTTATTATCTATAAACTTACCCGATATGTATCAAATATACTATATATTCGTACAAAATAACATAACTGCTGGCTAAAATGACGTTTGTGCAAAGTGTAACGTGCAAATAACTTGTGCTTTCGAAATTAAGACTTTATAAAACTATTATCAGTTATTAAATCTTATATTCATAATTAAATCATCTCAATAAACATTCAGCAATTAACAAGAAACGTCTGCTCTAAACGAACAGCAAGGTTGTAACTTTAAATTTCAAATGTCAAAGACACGTACAGTTATTATATTGCTACTGATCTTGCATGTCGACGGCGGATGTCGAGCCATGTGTTAAGTTAATTCGTACGGCGGGTTTGTTCTTTTTGGTTCTTACAATAATATTGTTAATAATAATTTGAATTCCTACACAACCTACTCTAGAAATCCGTTTTATTGAAATATATTATTTACTAAGTACCTAGAGTTGTTATGGTCTCTTAAAATCTCTGCGGTGGTATCGTGTGCGTTAGGTGGTTACGATCCCTCAAATATAGTATATTTGAGTTGTTTAGTTGAAATTAAAAAAGCAGCCCTTGCTGAGTTTCTTGCCGTTTCTTGTCAGTAAGAGATCTGCCGCCTTAGTTTTGCGAATCATTGGTAAAGTTTTCGACTTTCACAAGTACTATGTAACAGTCTAGATTGAATTGATTTTGATATTTATATTAATATCATTCGTTTTGTGGATGCATAATGACACTTCATCTTCATCATCATTTTTGTTCTCCATTCGAAACCTGAATTCGACGAAAGTTACGAGCAACCAATAAGTTGGCTCATCACTAATGTTGACGTATCAACCAAACATCGTTCCTTTACACGTAATATACTAAAAAACTTAAACTTACAATTAAAATAAATTAAAATTAGTTTGAAAGTGAGACATTATAAGAAACACAAAACGATGTCATATTTATTAATCGAAAATACTCAATTTACATTTATTACGTCAGAAATAAAATTTGAATGAATATCATAAACAAAATCCAAAACTCGCGAGTGACATCTAGTATGATTTCAAGAACTAATTTTTATTTTTTAAATACTTCCTCATTAAAATTAGATCATCGCCATCTTTCATTCATTTCATCATCGTTTTACATGTTGAAATTAATTTATTCACTTGACATTGGCAAAATTGTGCGAAGCGAAACATGAACTTTAGTTTGATGTTTTATGAACTTTGACAATTTTTTTGTCTTAAACACTGATTCTAAAAGCAAAGGGATTTATATGGATACACCATGCTTTTAGGATAGTTATTTTTAAACAGGCAATAACAATGATAAGACGCGAAGTTAGTTTTTTTAAATTAAATAAAAGTAAAGGTATGATTGTTGATGATTTACACAAACAAAATATTAATTCAATAAATACGTTTAATAAATAAAAAAACAGTAAATGCGTTCACGAGAAACCTTCGTGAACGAATGTGAAATTTGTTTTAGTTGTTCTTGAAATATATTTGCACTTGTTTCTCAACAACTTCACTAGTTTCTTTGGTCCACAGCAATATAAGTGTAAATGTTTCCTGAAAAAAAAAAACATAATCAGTATCTCACAGCCATTTCACAATGTAGCTATAATTTTGATTAGATATCTATATTTTTCAGTATAGCATTGTGAATGCAAAATTTATTTAATACTAGCTTTCACCAGTGGCTTCTCCCGCGTGGTCCCTAGAGAAATGTTTAGTGGGTAAAAAGTCTATCCTATTCTCTAAGTCAACTAATACCCTATCTGTATACCAAATTTCATCAGACTACATTGAATGATTCTTTTTTAAGTGTATGTGTAGGTCAGTGTCAGGGCAAGGTTTTTATATAAGAAAATTTATAAAAAAAGACGCGTATCCGGCGGTTCGAATTTCGCAGGCTAGTTTACAATAGAAATATGTTATTGGGAATTGGACCTACATTTTCTGTGTATGTATATAATTGATTACACTTACTCCGGATACAAATGTACCCAGTATCCGAAAACGCGGTCCCAGTGCGGTCTGCCCCACCTCACTCGACAGCCCAACATCGGATACTCTTTAGCTAAACGATATCCACCGTCAGCAGCAGTCTTATCATTAATACTGTTATGTTTCCTTCCATCTGCATTCAGTAATGCCGCCTTTTCATCTTCGTCACATTTTATAGTGACGTTATTAATGTCTCCTCTTCCATTCACAACGGTTATCATGTCTTTTTGTTTGTCGAAAGATACGGTTTGTTTCGAATTAGTGACATAAAGTTCTATGTGAAGCCTGTCCGGGCGATTTGCCTCCCTTAGCACAGTCATAGTTTTACTGGCCAGTTCAGCTAGCCATGTTAATTCTTCTTCGTGTCTAACTATCCAGAAGAGATGGACACGACCTGGTGTGTGGCTTCGTGGATACCTGAGAATGTATTAAGGATTGGTGAAATGATTTTCGAAGGAATACTTAAAATTGACAACATGATCGATTTCTGTTATCCAAGTACCTGTAGTGCTAATAGCACTAGGCATTTTTGGTATGTAGTAGTGTAAAATATATGAGTCGCTTTGTAAGCTAAAGGCTTTGCGCAGAACTTTTCATAATCGTAATGGTTTGGGAGTAATTCCCTAACTAAAAATATTTTTTTATTGATTTTAATTTTCGATATTTTCGTCTCTTCTTTAGTATGGTTCTGATGTTTCTTTTTTCAAAGGTCTACTCCATGGTATCTACCATTCATCACCGAAGAGGGATTTCATCGAAATCGGATCAGCAGTTTTGTTTTCGTAAAAAAAAACTGAAGGAACAACATCGCCTTAAGTATCGTGACCATGTCGACTTAAAAATCATATAATAATTTTTAAAAATAAAATGATATCAATTTCAACGTAATCGAAATACACTAAAAATCTTTCGAAGTCGAGCAGTTAAAAGCACGGTCATCGAATAGCCGAAATACAAATGAAGAATTTGATTTTTTAAAAACCAATTTTGGTTTGTTATCTCACTCACAGTGTGTAGTATGTAGTTATTATACTCACATAAACATATGGTGTAACAGTGAAACAAAAGGTGTAATCCCGATACCGGCGGCTACACATATCGCAACTTGCCTACCGCTCACTGCCTCCATAGGACTTGAGAACGGACCATCCACTAACATACTATAAATCAATAATTAAAATATTACTAGATTAATTCGAGTAGCTCGGTGGCGTAGTGGATAAGAGCCGAGGCCCGCGATCGTTGTCGTTAAGCAACTTTCGCTAAGGTCGGTCACGGGATGGGTGACCAAAAAATTATTATCTCGAGCTACTCCGTGCTTCGTAAGGCACTTTAAGCCGTTGGTCCCGGCTGCATTTGCAGTCGTTAATACCCTCCAATCCGCATTGGGCCAGCGTGGAGGGTCTTGGCCCATCCTCCTTAACCATCCATAAGGAAGTCCTGAGCCCCTGCAGTGGGGACGTAAAAGGGCTGATGATGAGATTAATTCCTAATCATATAACAAAGATTTTGCTATTTGTTCATAATATTACTAGACCGACATTTTAAAATTCCTTCACCAATACAAAGATGCATTGATTGGTAGCAAAATAGCAATTCTGTTGAACAAACCAGACAGAATTCAATTCAATTCAATTCAATTCAATTTATTCAATTCAGAGTTGTTAATAATAGTTATTTACGGAATCGCTACCGTTAAACACCGAAATATATAGTTAAAGTAAGTAACTCATACATTACAAAATATGAGCGCTGGGTGGTGGTGGAAGGGGGCTAGGTGAGGCGCAATGTCAAAGTTTCTGCCCCGGTTGGAAAAAGTTGTAGCTCAGGGCCTGAATTCATGAAGTAAGTAAATGTGACTCCGTAATCTACGAAATTAGTCTTAAATATCGGGAACTCAATAAAAATAAATTCATTTACACGGCAGCAATTCCATGAATAATTATTACTCTGACGTTAATGACCATAAAAGTTTAAAACAATATGGAGACAAAATTTTGTTTCAATTCTGTCATAATGTGTTTTTAATTCTGAAAACAGCAAAGACAAATTGACGATATAGGTATCTTAAACTATTGAAAAGCTCTTTCTTCTGCACATACATTTCTCTAAAGTAACATCACTAAGTTCGAACCATTGTATTCCTAGTAATAATAAAATATCGTAAATCGCTCACGTGTTACCTATGTTACTTACTACACATAATTATATCCCTAGGGACAAAACTATATTACATCTTCATTTATCTATATTTTACTGCGACATAATAAAGATAGAAAGAAGCTACACGTGACTATAAACATTTTATTAGGAACCAACGATTTACCTAAGTTTATCTGGTCCTCGTTCTAATAAAAGGCTCTCGAAAGCTTCTGTCCAATCTCCTTTTACTCTGATCCATAACACAAAATAATTTTGACTAGAAAAAGGCATCTGTAAAATACAATAGAATATTAATCTAATTATCTGTCATAGAGCTCAGTATCCGTAAGTAAACTAAATAAGTGGGGTTAAGATTCTTGCCAGGATCTGAGGGGGGGCAAGTATCAGGGGATCGCCAAAATCATCATGGGTGAGATGGGGCGTTAGGAGGAAGGGCGCCATATGAAGTTTCTGTCCCAGTTAAAAAAATCTTAGATCCGCGCCTACTCCTTGCTGGATCCCGGGTCCCGGGTGGTTGAAAAGCCTTGGTTTAAAGCTTAAGGTGCGTTTTCCCTGGTACAATAAATATACCAATGAAGCGACTTCAGAGCTTTAGCATTCATTTTCTTTGATTATCCCCGAAGGCATTTTTGACTTTTATTTTATAGGTATTAAGATTGTAATTTCAAGTTGACTTAGAATTACATTACTTTCTGGGTCTTTTAGCAAAATAAATTAAATAAATAAATAGTAATACATAATGTATAGCATACATTACTCAGAATCCAATATGAGTGGAGCTCTCGTATTATGGAGTATCTGAGACAACAAAGGTACCACAACACCCTACCTCGAGATAATATAGAAAAGTGTATTATATATTATAAAAAACAAATTAGTATTCTCATATAATTGTTAATATTTCTTTATGAAACTTTACCTTGACAATTGTAAACGGATGCCACTCCAATAATGATACGTCGAGGCATTGAAGCAATACGTATTGACCCATACGACACAAGAACTCTTCGCCTGGACAACTGACCGATAAACTTATCACTCGACCGGGCAGGTAGTTCACCTGGGGTGAAACACACTGTTTAAAACTAGGTACAAGTAATACTTCATTCAAGATGGTCTAATAATGATCTAATATCATAGAGCTATTTCCCCCATATTCTAGAGTCGGGAAGACATAAAATTGAAGGAAAAACAGCAACCCAGCTTGCAAACACGTAGTAATCCGCTAAACCAAAATTTTCCTACAGAGCAAAAAACTTTTTTTTTTTTTTCGAAAAATAATTCTTATAAACATTTCGAAAAATAAGATATTCCTAAGTCAAATAATACGAAAATAAGATATTTTTTATGGAAAAATACTTATAAAAATTTTCTAATCTTAATATCCTTTTTGATTTTGTACTAGGTACGTGTTTGCTTTCCAGCGTCGATATGTTTCTCGTTTAAAATACTTTACTTTATACTCGTATCAAATCAACTTCTCTCTCTTACTATTCTAGAAACGTCTGCTTATGTACTTTAGTATAAAAGTTCATTGCATAGATATCATCATCAGCCCTTTTACGTCTCCATTGCAGGGATTCAGGCCTTCCTTATGGATGGTTCAGGAGGATTTGGAAGTGTTCTCTTGATCGATTCATGATTTTTATGAATACCAGATGAATGAAATTCATCAAAAATTACTTAAAGAATATTATTTTACAGTAACCGTAGATTAGCTAAGAAACCCAGTTTCTAAATTATTATTAATCTGGACTTTACTTTGGCGCAATCAAATAAAATATGAGTTATTTTTCTAAACAAAACGACTACAATGATTGAGCTACTTTTACAGACCATAAAAACTACATTTTCAGAGTACATAGCCTAACTAATTTTCAGAAAAACATTATATCCATGCTTGGAAGCCATAAAACCTATAACGCATTTGCAGACACAGTAGACTGAAAAAAAAATCGATCAATTTTAAACACGACACGATTCTTTCACATGACAAACAATCGTTAAAGCTAAATGATAATTTCCAGTATCATTTTTGTCCATTATTTGATTTTAATCTATATACTTATATATTGACAAAGCGTTAATATTTTAATACCTATTGGTTTTTTTATTTTTACCTAAATTAGGTGGACGTTCTATATTGTTTCAATATATTAACCTATATCTCAGGACTATGATATTATAATCTAATATTAATTTATTGAAAAAATATCGAACATTGACCTTTTTATTGATCACTGATTAACTAATAAGGTTTAATTTAATAGGCCAACGTGACCGGATTACAACAAATCCAATAAAATGACTACATAAGTACCTGGAAATATGCGAAAGAGCGAATAGGATACAATTAAAATATACCGAGCACAGTTTGACCGTGATACTGTTATTTAAATTCTCTAAAGTGGGACTCGTTCTCTACCAAGAGTCAAAAATATATACCCTTCTTGTTCTCTATCTTAGAACGCGAAAATAGATTTTGGTCTACTCTTGACATCACATTAAGATTATAGAATACTAGCTGATCCGGCAAACGTTGAATTGCAGTGGACTATAGTGCAGTAGTATAACCCGTTGTATTTCGTATCACATATCACCGTTTAAACTTTCCGTGGACAATGACAAACATTTCAGAGCTTAAACCAGCTAAATCGGCCCAGCCGTTCACGAGTTTTAGCGAGACATGAACAGCGAATTTGACACTATCTCACTCTCGTTCCGAAAAATATATAGAGAAAACCTTCATCGAATTTGTGATAATGAAATTGTATAAAAAAAGTTAGAAAATCGTATTAGAAATCACTGTACAGAAGCACACGTAGAATTATTCCAACGAACGCAGTACTGTTATGAACTTCTATTAATATACTCACAGAACAATTATTCTGTGAGTATACTAATAGTGACAATAGACATGATGCTGTCCAACCTCAGGAGTTTGGGGCGTCCGACAGACGAAAAATAAATAAAAGTTTAAGTCTAACTCTGGCTCAATATTCATACCTATTACTGTAAATTTTCCATTTAAAAAGTAATTGAATAACTTGTATTTAAACAATAAAATATATTACTGCATAATCTTTACTTTCTTGAAATAATCTTCCATGGTACAAATAACTAGGCTGCAATTTATTATTATTAAAATATTTCAAACAAAAACTCACTTCTAAAATGTCAATCTTAGCTCGGTTTCTTGAAAAAATTCGCCATACGAAGTCCAAGACAAAGCAGGATAAGGGGAAAGTCATCCACAACCAAGTCTGAAATACAATAAAATGATTTATTAGAATTTAGGAATAAAAATTATACGGGGTTTGTAAATGCGTCACTTGAGAGATCTCTGTCCCCGTAATAGGTATTAGTCCAAATAAAGTTAGGTAGAAGCTTTAAAATTCTTGAAAACGTTCAAAATGCAATTGGATTGTGTATGGCCACCATTTACATTGTGCATCGCACTCCAGTGCCTCTTTTTTTCCTCTTCCTGCTATGGCGGCTGCCTTTATGGTGACACACTCGTTTTATTTTCTGTATTTTATTAAGAATTTATTACAATAATTTTAAAAATATTTTTATATAAATAATTTCCTACAAATCAGTCAATTTCTTATCACATGTGACATCAGATTACCAATGAACGATATTTATAAAAAAATCTTTAACTAGCAACCAGAAGGCATACGTACTCATAAAAGCAATTTTTGTCATATCGTGAAATTCATCCATCTCTGTCCTACTTTACCACATTAAAAGACATGTAAATCAAAGCAGGGCAAATAACAAAACAGTCCACGATATCCCTGACAATGTTTATTATCACAGCAGTTATCTAGCTTATTCATTAATTCCTGACTCAACAATCTAAAGTACTGAGTAAATGGAAGGTCACATCGGGAACATAATGAGAGGTGTGTCGTACTGCCAAAGCCATAAAATATACAAGTTTGTCGGAAAATAAGCGAGTTCTGTTGTAGACATAAATTCAAATATAAGTTTGTATGAATAACTCTAATGACGTTAATTTTTTGGGTATTCACATAGCAAAATTTTCAACACTCTTTAATTTATGAATGTTCATTTTTCTAAAAAGAGGATTTTTCCAACTATGCTGGAATATAAGAGTCAGATATATCTCCAAATCTTGTAACGGCGGCAAAGGTAAAAAATACATTTGTAAATCGTTTGTATTATCTAATAATTAACATCAATATGAAAAAAAGAAACAGAAATAACAGTTCTTGCCAAAACGTTAGGAACAACTTATTAATTATAATCAATCAACAAAATCAATAAATGTAGAACTTTTTTTAAATTGAGTTGTTAAATTCACTTTTGGACAATATGGAAATTACAATTGTTTAAATTTTGGATTATTCTGATATCTTATCCAGCACTCTTGATATCTTATATCTTATCAAACATTCAACACTCACTAAAAAAAAAAACCTGGGGTTTTTTTATCTTCTTCTTCTTCTATAGTTAACAGAAAGAAAAATACTATTTCGTTTACTTTACCAGACTTTACCTTCGATTGAATAGAAACGAATCTCTCTTTAACAACAATTGTGGAGTCGTTTGTGTTTTTCTCTACATTTAGCATCGGAGTAACTTCATCTTCAAACAAAACTTCTTCTTTCAAGACTCCACTGAAAAGAGAAATATCAACGCTTTATAAAGTTACTAGCTGTTTTCCCGCGACTTCGCATGCGTAATTTATAACCTCTCTCAACCCTGTTAATAACCCGTATGTTAAATCATTTTTAAACGCGGTCCAGTAGTTTAAAAGGCTATTTGATGCAAACAAACAAACAAACAATCAAATCTATCGTCTTATAATATTACTATAAATAAAGAAAAACTTGATAACAGAACTATTCCAGAGAAAATAGATAGTGTGTACTACCTATTCGAATCTTCAATATAAACGTGGAAGTATAATATCAACGAATCCCTGCTAATTTTATAAATATAATAAGTTTATAAACTAAAGGTGGCGCCAATTTAATGTAACGTCACATAGCATATAGCACAACTAAGAAGCTCGAATGATACCTCATTTGTCCAGGGGCCCGATCGCGTTAAATATTTTCAACTGAACTGTAGCTGAACCTCAATCGAAACACGATTTTTGTAACATTCGGTATCGCCATAATAATTTGACGGATAGTTGAAACGGATGTGAAACGCAACTGAAGCTGAGCAGCTGTCAAACTGTGAAGTTGAACTGAAGCTACTTTTTCTGAACCGTTCGTAAAACCTCGGTAGTGTTTTTGATATTTTTGTATTAAAATTAAGTGAAAATGATCTATTTGGACTTTCTTGAAAGGGGCCACGAGTATGACGTATCAGTTGCTCGAGCGCATACTAAAAAAGAAAACTTGCGCACAAGAATAAGTGAAGCTTTTTCATTAGGAAATCGATAGTTTATAAAGCGTTATATACTGTCGAAAGAGTTAGCTAGCTCGAAATTTAATTAATGAGCTAACTCCTCATATGCCTCCCACCTTGCGTGCGGATGCTTTGGACGTAGATACTAAGGTAAGTAAATATGCATTAATACTTAACCTAACATATTAACTTTTCTACTATACTTTTGCAAGCTTACTTAGTGTACGAACTATTCAAGCATATTGCATATATGATATTGTTGCAGGTTCTAAAGCAATCCGGCAAGTGATAATGGCATTAAATAAGCCCACTATATTAAACAAATTTAGTTTCCATTTCAAGAATGTGAAAGGGAACATACCTATAAAAAGAGAGTATGTATACATTCATCATTTGATAAATTTATTTTATTCAGTATGATACCATGTTAAAGAATCCATTATTTAAAATTTCAGGTTTTATAGAAAGTTGGATTGTTGGGTTGTATTGATGGAACCCACGTTGCAATTGTGTGCCCTTATGAGCATAAGGAAAGATTCCTCAACAGGAAAAGATACCATTCTTTCATTTCACGCCACAACCAATCCGCTAAGGCTCGAGCTTCCTTGGACCTCACCCGTCCAAAGGCGAGGTCACAATGTCCTGCTACAAACTCGAGAAGAGCTTCGAGTTGACGGACCGTTATTGATTTGCGATTGCTTGCCATTTCTACAACAAAAAATAGTTTGATACGACTTACATACAAATTTCTTTTCTCGGTTAAATATTTGAGCTTCAATAAAGAAAATACTCACTCGGTTTACAATCACGAAGTGCACACACAACACGAATGAGGATTAAGTCGTCCAAAAAGCTACGTTTCAGTCACAACCACTTAAGATAACTTTGTTAAGTACTTCTTATCCACTTGAGTCAAATTCTCGTTATTCCCGCTATTAACATTCCTTCTAGATCTGTCAAATTTAGTGCTGACAACGCTATAAACGGTCAATCGATTGTCGATTATATTGAAATAACAGGTAAAAAATAACAGTACTCGGGTACATCTCTAACGTTCCAATAACGTTCAAGGTTCAGCTCCGGTTTCGTTTCAGTTAACGTTTCAACTTTAGCGCGATACCAAAATATTGGTCAACTGGACTTTTACTGCAATTGAACCGAAACTGAACTTCACACGTTCTGTATTAAATCAATTTATCGCAATCGGGCTTACGATGAGTAATTTCGAAGTTAAAAGGGAACAGATGAACATTCTTACATACATACATACCGGACAAAATCATAACCCTCCTTTTTGCTTCACCGTTGTCGGGTAAAACTATATCTATCTGTATTGTTTGGTTGTATTGGTATAGAGAGATAAAGTTGATCTTGAAATAGGACAAGGTTCCTTTTATAGCGAAAAAAGGGGTTGAAGGTGTTGAAATGGGAGATGAAAATAAAATTCGGCGTATTCTACAAATTAATACCTTATTTTTGGACTAATATAACGAGAAGCTAATATTTCATATCGATGTTATTAAATAAATAAATACATACTGATGTATGTCGTTGCTAGCCCTTGCGTTATGGAGAGAATGCCTAAGGCAAAAAACCCGTCAATCAACAGTTTTTGAGTTACCCCAACACTCAGACCCATGGAAAAAGTTATTTTTGTATTTGACTCCGAACCTCAAAGATGACACGGGATTCACTCAGACGCAGACGTAAATATCTATACTAGTATTATTAAGAAATAAAGTTTTTAATTACGCTTAGATATTTGTTTTAGAGGGAAATAATCGAAAATACTATTACAACCATGAAAATGCTTTCACTTACGACGAAGTCGGGATAACATCTAGTCTTTGTAATGAAGAACATAAAGGTGATTGACGTCCACATCTATGTTATGATGTTTCCCTAACATTAATAAATGCGTCTAGAACTCTTCTCCTGTTTGCGACCTCATTTATGTCGCAATCTCAGTCTACCAACGAACGTCTATGACACAGGCATTGTGACTCACAATTATGTTACAAATATAGTAAACAGTTCATTATATCACACATACAAAACACTCAACGAAAACTCAGGCATTACAAACTTTATTATCATTATCAATAATTTATTCTTATTAGGACTACGTCATATAACATATCATCGAATTAAAAGGTTAATAATATATTCTAAATTAAAATATTCAGGTGGCATGTAAGCTTACCTCAGAGGATGTACTATTAATAACACCAAAAATAGAAAGAAGAGTTGATGCGTATACCAGAAAGCGTTGTAGTAATTTCTTCTCACAACTCTAAGGGATGTGAGCCCCATACTGATTATTATGAGAAGCATGGAAACACCAGTCAATCCCGCTACTGTTAACAGAAGTACGAAAGGATTCTAAAAAAAACAAAAAATGTCTATTAAAACCGTTTTGGTTGTTTTCCTTCTTCTAAAATTAAGAAAAAAAAATTAGTTCTATAATAAGTTCTATTAAAGTTACTAACCTCATTTCTGTATGTGGCAAAATTTAACGCAACACGTTCATCGTCGTAGCCTCTAGAGAAATTCCACATATTTATGAAGTGAGAAATGGAATGTATCACTGAAACAAAGTATAAGCCATAAGTTTTCCTCGATCTATAAGTGGTTCAGATTTTAGAAAAAGCTACAAAATTATCAACTGTTATATCGTAGATCAAAGCTTATTTTATTTTTTCCTTATTATTCACATAAAGAAAGTAAGCTTTAATTCGCACAGATAGCTCGCGTTGCTTTTATAGGGTCCAAATCCTGCCAGAATCTTTTTTTTTTACATTTCAGCTTTTATTTTTAGGAATCATTAATTAACGAGTCGTTAAACAATCATTAATACTCGTAAAAGAATGATGTCCTAATTTTTCATCTGCATAAAGTAAATTATGCAAACTTAGAATGACGAATGCACTAGTCCCAATTTTCTTGTATATACCACTAAACTTGGTTGTCTAAACAGAACAAAAAATCTTATTTTAATTTAGATTTCTCTTTAACTTTATTTCGTAGTCACACGTAATCAAATAATTATAATTATTATTACTATTGTCTCTACGTCTACGTCATTCAAACGTTTTTATGACTTATATTACTCATTCATCATCAGGCCTTTTACGTCCCCACTGCAGGGTCTCAGACCTTCCTTATGGATGGTTAAGGAGGATGTGCCTTCCGAAGCACGAAGTAGCTCAAGATAATAATTTTTTGGTTACCCATCCCGTGACCGACCCTTGCGAAAGTTGTCTAACAACTACGATCGCGGACTTCGGCGCTTATCCTCTACGCCACCAAGCTACTTATTTATTAATTACTTATATTACTCATTACACAGTCATAACAAAAATTTGATGACTTATTCTTGCTACCTGCCTGTTAGGTTAAGTTACTATTTACAAAATGAATACACAGATTTAAAACTAAATGCAAGAGAATCGCTGCCAATATTGTGCTTCGTTTTTTTAAATATCAAATTTATAAAAGAATGATAATAGAAATTGACTTTAATAAAGTTCTTAGGGTAAACTAATCACTAGGCTTGAATAAAAAAAAACTCTATCAATAAGCCGTTGTTTAGGTTCCATAAACCGTCCATGTAGACACAAAGAAAGCAGTTTGTTGTGTCTCTTCAACTGCAAGGGGCCAACACAAAAGAGGTTTTAAACTCCGACGCCATTAGCTTACGTCTCGAGAACTTAATGGTGCCTTCCAACGCCTTTTTAGGTTTACTATGACTTAGCATAGAAAGATTACTAGTACGTAACTCCCATAGGGAGTTTGTTTCTACGTATATTAGGTATTTAATTTGCGGACAACTATCCTGTCTGTATTATAACATTATGTACTTGAAATAGTGGAAATATTTCGTTTCATAAATTCCAATTATGTTTGCATACGATATATATTATTTTATAGACAAGCTAATTTTCTATACATAAGATTAGCTTGTCTATAAAAAATATGCAAAATGGCTTTAAAAACTATTGAGAATTTCCGTTTTTTTGTATATATATTTTAATAAAATTTTAAGCTTTTCATTTGTTTTAATAAATATTAGATAACATCACCTTGCTCCGATAACAAGATGAGTAGCTAAAACCCTTATTTATGATTATTATGTATCTGAGCTACGAACTGTACCATAACACCGAAAGACAATATAGAAAAGGCAATTTTCTGCATTAACTCGAACGGGAATTAAGCCCGGGACCTCAGAGATAACTTGAAACCGGCGTGTGACTACTCGGCTACAAGATTTAATTTTCAATTTTCCTTTCCATAATACAGCTATCCGGCACAGTACTTTCTTTATATCGTAGATATATAAATGAAGTTGAATGCCTACCTAACAGTACACTATCTTCATATACATTCACATGAATACCAGTGAAATATTTTGTGTTGCGATACAGCACTGAATAAGCTGAGATAAGCTCACCAACGCGTTCAACGAATGATTTACAGTACACGTTGGTCATGATGTTCACACCATAATAGGCTAATCCATAACCGTTTATAGCTCTCTGTGTGTTCATTTAAATATGAATGATTTTCGGATTTACGCAAGTACCAATGCAATAGTATATAATTGAGAACACTATAAGTGCACTAAAAATAAAGATATAAAACGAACAAATAGAAATTAGAAATATATATAGTAGCAGTTTCTACTAGGCAACCTCTGGATTAAAGAAACTATACCGACTAAGGAAAGGAACCGCTGGGTAGTGCATTAATAATAAAAAATATATGTACTTATTAAATGATTTTTATCTGTAAAATGACTTCGCCCTACATTTTCGCATTTATATGTATAATAATACTAATTTAAAACTTCTGAACAGGATTAGATATATAGAAAAAATTTGTCAATTACGAGTCGCGCGCCAAGTGCTACGTGCTCCCACACAATATTAACTTTATTATATATTCTCTTACCTTTCAAATTTTATAGTACGTATTATTTTTTTCACTAGTTAAAATTAGAAAAAATAGAGCCCCATGACGTGGCACAGCAATAGATGAACAGACAATCAGGTAGCACAGGCATATTCTGAGTGGTAAGATGTAAGTTTTACGTTAACACGTTCGCTGCCACTAGTGAGCGGGTTAAGAATTTCTATCGAGATTTGTAACTACAAATATCTTATAGCTAAGAACTCTTAATAGTTACCACTAGAAGTGTTGTAACGCTTTCCATACTAAGATATTAACGACGGTGAACTTAATGTCAAAAAAACTTAAACTAAGCGCTCTGTAATACTTAGGACCCTTAAGCTCCCTCTGAGGTCTAAAAATAAAATAAACTCTTCAACTCAAACAAACTTCAACTCTTCAAATAAAGAGTAAATAAATAACACTGCGTGTTTTTAGGAAGGGAAGAAGAACGAAAAATATATAAATTGACTCTACATTTTTGCAAAACTAATGCCACTCACTCTACTTCCCTGATCTTTATAAATTTGTTGCATATTTTGTGTAAACATTGATATTTTTTCGCTTTGGCTATATTTTGAGTATATTAGTCTAAATACGTAAATTAATTAATGTTTTATACTCACCAGCAAATAATACTAGCGTCATAGCAACAGTCATGTGAAAACTCTTCGCCCTCTCCAGCCAGTAGAAGAATAGACCAGGGCAGAGATAAGAGAGCAAATGGTAAAGGACCTGGTTGAGTTTCTTGCAGAGAGGCAACAGTACAAGAGCGGAGCACAAGTTCAGCACTGTTGCGGTCCCACGAGAAATGCATAATCCTAACTGTGGATTTAATGGAAGATATAATAACTTAGTAAGATATTAGAACGATCGTTAACGACGGAGTTGCTCGAGTATATTTATCGAGTCCCCGATATTTCGGCGCTATTGAAAACGCCATGATCAAGAAATGACAGACGTTATGGGCAGATATACCGATCTACCTCTTTGCGTTCAATATCCGTACCATTCTCATTAAGTCACTACTAACTCGCACCAGTTCTCGACTTAACACTTCCTGTATCTCATCATGCAACGACACCTTTATTTTAAATTACGAACCACTGGATTCTTGACACTCGACAATCGAAACAAGTCCTCACGATAGAGATATTTGTGTATTGTTATTTCAGTTGCTCTCCATTCTCTAACCATTCTTGGTGTGAAGTGACCTTCAGTCGAGATAATCCGTGGCATATGTAGCTAAATGCAATGGTTAGGTTTCGAATTAATCAAGTGTTCTGCGAGGGTTGATATTTGTGTGATGTTTTTCATGACTCTTTTGGTGAGTTTCTTAATTCTGCACGCTGTTGTTCGGTGTATCTGCCAATAACGGGACTTCGATTATTCCCTGATCATGGTGCTTGTAACAGCGCCGAAATTTCCGGGGACTGAGTATCGAAGGAACATAGTAGTAATCCCGTTATTAACAATCATTTTAAGTTTAATGATAATAACTTTTCGCACTCTAACAGTATTATTAATAAACAAGATTTAGCGTTGGAGTAAATTTATGCTGAGACTGCACTTAGTATTAGTCAAAATACATATTATGCACTGCGCTTTAGCAAAGGTAAACCTAGTACGAGGTTCTACGGGAGTATTATTTACTCCTAGAAGGAATTCGGACTTATACTTAAATAACAATTTTAGCGTCTCTGACTGCACTGCAGCACTGTTAAAGTTTAAACACAACATAGAACACGACACTTATTTAACAGGATATTGTTTTAAAAGATGTATACTATAACTAAGTTTTTATAACAAAATAGAATAATTGAAATATACTTTACTCTTTGTTAAAATAATTATTTATCAGATAAGACTAATACGCTTTCTTATAACATAACAATAATTAATCACTGAACGTAAACTTAAAGCAAAAAAAAAAACTTAATGATTCTGAAGAGGGTTAAATTTTTATTAACTTTTCGCATATTTACTGTATTATAGAAAACGAACTTTTTATCGTCATGAAAACAAATATAATCCCAAAAAGTATATAGCAATACCCAGTATACAAATCAGCTCATACGAATAAACAAAATGAAATGATTATTTTGGTATAATAGAGTCTATCATTCACATATGTTTCAATGCATGCAAATTTATTAACGAGTGTCAAAATTAAAATACGTTACCCCTAAAATCCTTCTTAGGTGATAAAACTGACGGCCATTCAAATAATGAAGAAAAGTATTATAGAAAAGGTACGTAACTAATGAGATCCACAATATCTGAAACCAAGCAAATATTGCAATGTAAGTTAATGTAAGATACAGTTTTAATTATTTGGCAACTTACACAGTGTGTTACATTTTAAAATGCAGCAAATCAATATAAATAGAAAACTCACAAGTCGGTGCAAACACTGTAGAGCAATTCTGGAAATATTAATAAAATTATGGAAAGTCAATAGCGCTTCAACTACAGCATTTTATGACATAGTTTTTGTTACAAGATCACAAAATTATAAATATATCTGTCACAATATATATCTGTCCAATATGCCATTTTGCAATTTGCCATTGTTCTTTCTACCTAAATTGCAATATTACTAGTGCAATGTCTTCACAAATCAATGTTGACAGGTATATTTATTATTTCCATTACCCTCGTCAATTTCTATTATCAACTAATAGAGTCTCATAAAAGCTATGCATCTAAATACGTCACAGCAACCGATTCAAAACAAATGTATTTTTAGAATAAAAATCATAAGAACAATCTTATAACGACGCTCCATTGCGACGTGAAACATTTCTAACCCACTTCCCCATATATAAGAATGAACACTTCTCAGAGATAGAGTTATTTCGAATATAATCTGTGCCCATCGTACAAGCCATTTTTACTTCAAGGAAATTTAAAGATTTGTTTAAATTCTTACAGATTAATTCTAATATAAACCATAATATAAACACTTCTAAATCCTTCAAACGTTATTTGTAGAACCATGAATCGTATTAGTACCTATACCAGAATTAGATACAATACTAAAATATCTAATCTCAACTTGTATCTAGCCAGTAAGAGTTATATTTGATTTCACCTATTCATAGGCAAAATTCTTCGGAATGCGTTTAAAACAATTATAGTTTAATTTGTTTTAAAAAATATCATCCAACTACCAATAATGCCCGTATTATAGGTAACAATTGTAGGTTTGTGCGTGTTAACGACCTCAAATGCAGCTGGGACCGACGCCTTAGGGTATGTTCCGATATACACTGCGAGCACTGCGCAGTGGTCTTACTGCTGAAAAATCCGTTCCGTTATGGACTGCCAGTACACTGCTACAGTACCCTAGGGAAATTTATGACGTCATAAATTGCTGCCATATTTGTACTGTGAGAACTGGAGATTTCGAGGTAAGGTGCTCGCAGTGCTTTTGATCACGTGATCAGTCGAAACAGAATCAGAAAATGATAAGTTTCTAAATAAACAAAAAAAAAAAATACTTACGTTTATTTATAAGATGGATTTAATTGATAAATAATTTTTTTATACAATTTTCCAATTTTCTTTTGAAAAGAGGGAATCTTTATATTTATATTCACCTTGCATTAACAAATTTGAAAATGGCGCCAAAAAATAGGATTAACCGTATACTGGACTGCGTTCCGTTTTAAAAAGTCACCAGTATAACTAGCTATAAAGGAACGGGCTTCCAGTATACTAAATTGACGTCATACTGTTCAGTGGTCGCAGTGTATATCGGAACATACCCATAATATACATTCCCAAAGACAATATAATAACATTTTGTTTCCCAGAATCGATTCTTAAAGACCTCTTTAGATTAGAACACCTGTTCTTGATAATTAGTAACTGATTTCATAACCCGTCTGATGATTTGCTTTAGCGAAAATTGTTTATAATCCAGATTTCAGATTTAAACTTTTAACCGCTACTTTTTTCCAGTCTAAGTATTTAACAATAATATAAATCTACTCTAAAATAATCTATCTAATCTGCAGTTACTTAGATGATATTTATTATAAGAACTACTCTTACGAATTAACTGGACACCAGACAGTATATTCTATTTCACCGAAAACGAAATTTTATCAATTTTCGAAATACTAATATGATTCCAAATATGATTTATACAAAACTATAAGAACGATTTGAAATGTTCTGAATTTTCGTTCGACGACAAATAGAAGAGGATCTTAGGTGTCATGTTAATTCATACGAGTAGTAACATCTAATACTTAATAGGTACTCATAATGTTCCTATACAACCATACCCTAGTATTCTAAGGCTATTCGACTACTTTACAACACCTAGATGCAGTTCCATTGAAAGAAACTTGGTCATATCCCAACATACAGTTACGACAGTTTGCGTCGGAAGCGAGGATGGAAGTTAGGTGTATAGCTACCCACTCGAGGCTATTCAGGCGGTGCGTATCTACCGGAGCGTTATGCTTTGACGGCCTAGGCATGCCGTAGCTATTGAGCGCGTGAATAGACGGACGGTGGTAGGTGTGGACCCGCATTAATTACTAGATGCTGAACAATATCGATGCCATCCGATTTGTATGTGTGTGTTGTTCGATATTCAAATGAATTCAGTGCATATACAGTGTGTTAGATACTAATTAGGTTCATAAAAAAAAACAATTTTTGAAAATCGATTTATAATTCACAGAGAAATCGGGGAACATACATAAAAAGTTCAACTTACCCATTGAACGTATAACCGCTTTTTTTTTATTTTAATGGCGGTAAAAATCAGAACGCTAACAACAATTACGATCCTTACATTATATTTATAGTTGACAACAACCTAAGGATAGCTATTATTCAATGTAAAAAAATTGAGTGAACCAAGTATCGCCTCGGCCTAAATCGTTTTTATTCTAAGTACTATGATAAAATGACTTTAAAAATTTTAAGGTTTTCCAATATTATCCAACTATTTATAGTTGGATACAACAAAGAAATAATAATATGCTATTGTGATACAAATCTCGAAACAATGTAACATCTCATTAAGAATGTTTTAAACAGGCCAAAATGTGACAGAAACATTAAATGATGATGACATCATAGTTAACCCCGAAACTATATTTACATTAACGTTCTAAATCTGTACAGCTTTGGTATTCTATAATAATACAGCTTCCAACACAATGCGTCAGATGCATTAGAGGTTTTGCATGTATTAAATCAACTTCAAAATGTAATAAAGCGTTCGACATTGTATTGCACTGCAGTATATGGCATGATATGAAATGAAATGAAATGAAAATATCTTTGAAATGAAATGAAAATATCTTTATTCAAGTAGGCTATTACAAGCACTTTTGAATCGTCCAAAAAAAAACTTTTTTCCCCTACCACTTGTTCAGGACGTCTTTTAGCTGACAAGAAGAACAAGCGAAAGAAACTTATCAGCTTTTTATCATAAGTAATGACATTTACATAAATCATGTCATTACCAAAATAATATGTATTATCAATTTATCACAATAGTAAATACAACTTTCAAAGTCTGTAGGACATAAGTTGAACATATAATTAGTCTTTATAGAACAAAGCGAAGGCTATTAATTCCATGCATTGCGATCCTTAAAGTAATCATCAACTTTATAATAGCCTTTACTCATAAGTATATTCTTTACATGAATTTGAAATTTATTTATGGGTAGGTCAATTACATTTTGTGGAACTTTATTGAACATAGCAATACATTTACCCAGAAATGATCCTCTGGTTTTTTGAAGTCTGAAGCTTGGAACGGCAAGTTTATCTTTATTTCTTGTGTTAAGATTATGAACACTACTTTTTTTTGTGAAGGAATCGTAATGTTTTCTTGTGTACATAATATTCTCATAGATGTATTGAGAGGCAACAGTCAGAATATTTATTTCTTTAAATAGTTCTCTGAGAGATTCCCTAGACCGTAAATTATATATAGCACGGACAGCTCTCTTTTGTAAAATAAAAACATCCTGAATGCTAGCCGCAGAACCCCATAACAATATAGCATACGTCATTACACTATGAAAATAACTAAAATATACCAATCTTGCCGTTTCAACATTTGTCAAGAGTCTAATTTTCTTAACAGCAAAAGCTGCAGAACTCAGTCTACTTGACAAGCTATCAATATGAGGATCCCATTGCAGTCGGGAATCTAGTGTAATACCAAGGAACTTTGTTGATTCTACTAACTCAACTTTTTCACTATTTACATTTATAAGTGTACTGACATGCCTCACATTAGGTAATGCAAACTTTATGCATTTCGTTTTATTTGAATTGAGTTTTAAATTATTATTATCAAACCACTGTAGAACATTGTCGAGAGCATTATTTACATCGTCAAAACAATCATTACCCCTCTCAACTTTAAACAGTAAAGAGGTGTCATCTGCAAATAATACTGTCTCGCACAAATTCTTCGTAAAGTGAGGAAGATCATTTATATAAATTAGAAAAAGCAATGGTCCTAATATCGATCCCTGAGGTACGCCCATAGTAACTGGTGCCCCTGCAGATTTCGCTTCATTGATTACTACCTTTTGAATTCTAGTAGTTGGCAGTAAGTATTAAGAAAGATTAGAAACAAAGTAAATATTCTAGAATAGGTCACTTACATAAACAATATTTAAAAGGGTATTACTACATTTAAAAATGGAATACTTTGACTTTTATTGTATTCTAATACATTTTTATTATTGTATCGCCATTTAGAAAATTGCGCGATTACAATAAAATTGTCTTGTCTCAGGAAAATTTTCGTTGCATGAATTTTTACGATTTTAAGTTACAGCTCAGCAATAGATTGAAACCTCGTTCGGTTTCAATCAATGATGAGCAAAACGAAGTGAAGTTCAAGATAAATTTCTTGAAGGTCGCTCGTGCACCGCTGTGACACAGGCTGGGAACGACAAAAACATGAGATTCGGACATCTTTGGACATAGTCATAAGTCAAATACAGTCGATCCTACACAAACATTTGGGTGTGATAAAGCTGTATTCTCGATGGATCTCACACAATTTGTTTGATGCTCTAAAAAGCCCGGCACTTTTTCGGGCATATTGGGAATGGAAAATTTCCCGTAGTGGCAATATTTCCAAATGTGTACATCACTATTTGGGTCAATATAGAAATTCAACTTTTCTATTGTGTCTTGGGTCTGGGTGTTGAGGTACCTTCCTTGTTTCGGATTTCCATAATACAGTTCTTTAGCTCCTTAATTTGGAATCAGAGCAGTGTAA